GAGGAATTGGATGTTATACTAGATTTGGAATCTTTCTTAGTAAGAAGTAAGTTTGAGATGTCCTATGTGTGGTTATGGCTTGGAGTGTTACTGCACAAATGTTGCTTGATTTGTGCTTTGTGGGACTCTTGATGACGTGAGTTAACTATTAAGTGAATATGTTAAGTCACATGTTGCATAGGTTAAATAATCTCAGAGTAACAGATTTGACCCTAATGCAAAGCTCGCGTTTGAGTCTAACCGTTTTGGGGATGAGTCTTTTACTCGAAGGATTATCTAAGATTTGTTACATATGATTGTAATCATGAAGTTGTTAACTAACATAATTGGGATTTCTTCAGCAGTTGATAGCAGGGTGAGGTTGGGAACCTAGGAGAGCCTAGGATTTGTTGTAGTGGATTGGTTGCGCTGCTTAGCGGGTATCTGAAGTATCAGTTTGAAAAGGTGATTTGGATGATTCAGGATGATTCTTGAGTAAAGTATGGATAAATGTGACGGTAGTATTGCGCCTATACTACAGAAAGCACATGATCCATCCTCGACTCGAGGAGAGTCACTAAGAATCTAGGAAGCCGGTGGGATAAGGATTATTTTGATATGTTTTTATGATGTGTATGATTGGTTTTCAAGATTGGTGATGATCACGCGTGGAGAAGGTTCAGGTTTTGGTTCAGGCTCAGGTGATGAGCCAGTTGGTGGGAGGATTGTATGCTTTTGAGTTTGTGTTGGATTACAGACCTAGAAGGTGCCTTCCACACTAGTCCTTATCCCATAGGAGCCAAGGTTAGGTTTCCCTTGGATCTCTTGCATCATGCTGCAAAGAGTTTTTAGGAATTGATTGTACAATCTATTACGCTTACTGAGTTGGAGACTATGTCTTGGAAGAGTTTGTGACCAAGTTCGGGGAAGAGGTTGTGCCAGCTATCATAGTACAGTTGTTGGAAAGGGAGTTTACGAGCATCTTAGGGTACAAGACCCTGAATGATGTGATTGTTGGCACCCATAAGCAGGAGATTGATTTGGAGCACCTCAGGAAGAAGAAGTCAGAGTAGGTTCAGACCACCGGGGGGAGGGGGGAGGGGGGCTAGGCAAAGAGGCCCAAGACTCAGGATCAACGGGTGAGGGGTAAGCAGGGCCGAAGTCGGTGCAACGGGTGTGGGAAGATGCATGGTGGGGTTTGTTAATCTAGGGGTATGGGTTGCTACAAGTGTGGAAGGATTGATCATGTCAGCACGGATTATCCCCAGGGGATGAGCCTATTATGTTTTCACTGCAACCAAGTGGGCCACAAGAAGGTAGATTGTCTGGAGTTAATAAGAGGAGCAGTAAGGGTACCTGCTCTAGCCACTCTAAGGATTATTGATGGTTTCGAGGACAGAGTGGAGGTTCTTGTGGTGATGAGTCGAGCATTGCATTCAAGGACTGAGGGTATCCGAGTTCCATCATTTGACTTTGCAGGCTATGTGTGATTTTATATATATATTTTTATTGCTCAATTTTTAAATTTATAAAACTGAATTTATCGTAACTAAGCTAAAACACACACTAGGCAGTGGACCTAATCGTGTAATAGTACAGTTGTGGTAAGAACATGTATCGAACACTAGGGGAATGGTGATGAATTAATTTGATGTGTTTGATTATAAGTTACATAAACACACGAAAATAATAGGAAATGTTTTATTACATACTCAAATACCCCTTAACATGAAGTATTGATAAACTGACTAGAAAACAAATCTCTTTAGGTACTTTGGTTTAGATCAATTACATCTCAAGTTAATGGTTAACTACCGATATAATAGATATTTATTCGTTATCACCGATTCCTAATATGACTTGTGTCATGGTCACGACTACTAATCCTTTGATTTCAACATAATTATTAATTCATTGATCAGGTGAACAAATAATCATGCAAACTAGTATTCAGTTCGTGTTAAGCATGATTTAATCTTATTTGACCCTAATGGTCATAAGAGTTAAATCATGCAGAGAACAGTCATTCTACTCATACACACACATTAAAGTTCACAACTTTATTTCCTAACCCTAGGTTACGGTCAAAACACTAGTCATAATCACCAATGATCATTGGACAACTCTGATTCAAATTAACACAGTCAGACAGACATGTAAACTATATCAATTCAGAAATAGGGTACAAAGTAATGACCTTTAACACATATGGATCTCCAATCAAACTTTGTAAAATAAATTGAACAAGACTAAATAATCCAAATAGCAATTAAACCATAAATTCAAAGGTTCATTCAATCATAGACACAAAGTAAAAGGTTTTTACACCTAAATCAGAAAGTAAACACATACTGGCATCACAATGTAATGCTAAACATGGTCACAATAACAAACCACATGATTACCGACACAAATCCGCTCTCCAATCCCTTAGATCTTCGCTCCTGTCAGCTTAACGGCCTTCTGGCTGCCTTCTAGACAATTTAAGGGCTAGCTTTGACAATTTAATAAAAGTAAGAGTTATCGATACATACCTTATTTCGGGGTGTTACAAACATACATTGATTTGGAGATTTAATTTCTCTCCAATGAGTACATTACTATGTTACTCATTTCTTGTACCATCATAGACATTGATTTAGATCCATAAATATAACAAATAATATTTATGGATCGATATGTCATTAACTCTTATTGTACATAATAAAGTTTATTATCCTTACATCTAATTAAACCTTATTACAAAATATAAGTGCGATTTATCATTATTTATAAATGTATTAGTATTTTCCAGGTAATATATACTTAGCACTCAAGTTAGTCAAACATACATGTTTTTAGTTATATAACAAACTAGATTTAAACCCATAGAAACCACGATTGATAAAGTAAAAAAAATAACATAGAAATTATTAACATTATTTTGTTTGCGAATAAAATAATATCTTATAAACATTAATCATTTTTAAAGTAAAATTTCAAAATAAATACGACCGAAATTATGAATACATAAGTACTTTAATTTATACTAATAAAAAAACTATTTTTTTAGAACACCAAAAAATTTAACGAAACCAAACTAGCAAGAAGCTAGAGTAACAAAACAAAGAAAAAACACATTACACAAAAATAGACATAGGACTATGAAGCCTACCCGACCAACTAAAAGACCCCTTAAACCTATTTTGACACAAAAAAATGAATGCAAAATAATATCATCAAAAATAACAAATTTCTTTGGTAACTTATTACCAAAGAATACCTTATTTATAAACGACCAAATATGCCACCAAGCAACTAAACAAACTGCTTCTAGAAACTCCTTTTGCAGTTTCTTAATCCGGAGACCCGACAACCAAAGTAACCAATCAGCATAACACAATAGAATAGGCACATCCAAGCCCTACCTAAGTAACAATGTATTATGAATCTCCATAGCCAAAGAACATGAGAAGAAGAGATGATTGACAGAATCAACTCCAGCTTGACAACTAGGCCATTGTAAGGAAGGAATATACATCCCTCTTCTCGTAAGGAATAAACATGTACTAATAAAGAACCTATTAGACATATTTTAAAAAATTGTCTTGAATCACAAATGTCCAAAAGCTTAATAAATACAAATATACAATATTAGATGTCATATTATTCGGTTTACATTCACCGTCTAAACTTAACATTTTTAATCTATTTTTGCGTTTAATTCCGTCTTGCAAGGGATAAAAGGTAGAAGTAATACAAAATAAGTTGAATGCTTGTATGATGCCTAGTATATACTGTAAATTGTTTTACAATTTATTTTTAACATTGTTTGATGTTATAAAAAGTATTCCATAACAATTACTGCCCAAATTCCATTTCTTGTCATCAATTCATTAACAACCATTTCTTGTTTTCTAAGCTTCTAATATAATATGACATCCTCCTTAATTTATAATCTGTAAACTCATTGACCAATATAGGAACATAAGGAATAAGGTGACAAATTTCATGATCACATAACATGAATAGATAAATGTTGTTATTTGGTAAGTTGTCGCCATATCCTTGCTGTTTCCCTAGCCGTAAATACTAACATCATAATTTTTTTACATTATACATAACCTCCAATGAGTTTGAGGTCTTAAATGAAAAATACAAACAATTACAAAAAGTTAGGAATGCCAAAAATGTGTTACAGATTTACATGTTACAGATTCACCTGTCCCACGAGGTGCTGTTTGATTTTCTGAAGCAAAAATTCATGAAGTCTGCGGACCACCTCTGCAACCCTCTGCAGTAGAAGAGGTGGACCAAACGGCTGCAGACTATAATAAGAAGCGTGTTTGTTTTTTTAACATCTGCATACTGCTGCAGATATTAAAAAATTAAAATAAAGTAATTTTATAAACCGAAAATAGTTTTTTAATACGTAAATTTTAATAATGTATAACATTTCGGTAAAAATTAATGATATTTCAGTAAAAAAGAATGATATTTCAACAAAAAATAAAGATATTTTCAGTAAAAAATAATGATATTTCATCAAGAAATTATCATTATTGAATATTAAAAAAATGAAAATAAAATTCAATAAGAATAAATGAAAAAAAAAGGGAAAAAATGTGAAATAAAATTTTAATAACATATAATCAAATTTTCAGCAATAAAAAGAAGAAGAAGAAGAGGTTGGAAGAGGTTGGAAGAGGCAGTACAAGCGCTGCGCCAAACAGAGTACACGCAGAGGTTTTTTACTCAGAAGACTTCTAAAAAACAAACAGCTACGAGATGAAAAGTGTTACGCGTGTGCTGCGTCGCGCAGCAGTAAGAGGTTTGAAGAGGTTTTTTCCAAAAAATAAACAGCACCGAAATGTGAGGGCCAATTCAGACGAATATAACATTTTGTAAAAACCTTGTGGAGTGAGGGACTAATATTTCAAAACCACGATAAAAATAATAATAATACTAACAATAATAAGTTATACATGTGCATGCTAAAATAAAATGCCCTTATAATCATGTGATCTGTAATTACTCATGCTTTAAACTCTTAGGTGCTGTTTGTTTTTTCGAAACGAAAATTCATGAAGTCTGCAGACCACCTCTGCAATCCTCTGTAGTAGAAGAGGTGGAACAAACGGCTGCAGCCTATAATAAGAAGTATGTTTGTTTTTTAACATCTGCAGACTGATGCAGTAAACTAAAATTTAAATAAACTAATTTTATAAACTGAAATAATTCTCAACATTGAAATTTAATAATTCTAATCTTAAAACATTGAAATAATAATAACAATAACATGTAAAAAACAAAAATATAAAACTTTTTTTAAAAAAAAAAACATAAAAAATGTAAAAGAAGCTAATAGTTTTATTCTAGAAAAAAAAAAACTAATTTAAAAAAAGCATTAAAAAAGGAAATAATAAAAAATTTAAGAAAGTATTGCAAACGTTATCTACAAAGTTCGTAAAAAATTGCACACGTTAAAAAAAATGTAACTGGAATTGAAAATATTATTAATAAAACGGTAAAAAAAATTTAAAAAAAAACAAATTAAAAAATCATGGAAATTATAAAAATAAATTGTATCACATCCGTAAATAAAAATTTAAGAAAATCAAAGTTTAAAAAAAAGAAATTAAAAAAAAGTTATACAAAAATTCTTAAAAAAAACACTTAGAAAAAATGAAAGTTGAAGAGGTTAGAAGAGGCAAGTCAAGTGTTGCGCCACGCAGCACACGCGCAGAGGTTTTGTAGTCTGAAGTCTTCCAAAAAACAAACTGCTGCGAGAGGGAAAGTGTTGCGCCGCACAGCAATAAGTGGTTTGAAGAGGTTTTTATAGAAAAGCAAACAGCACCTTAATATCTATATCAACATAAGTAAAAGGATAATTGGCAAGGTTCCTCACATACAATAAACACGAAAAAACAATAGGTTATAAACTAGCTAGTCACTTAACATGAAAAATGTCTTTTGAAACTTGATGCTCAATATCCAAAATAAAATAGAGTTACGAAGATCAAGTTTTGGGAGGGAATGCCATTCTTTGAATATGAGTTTGTGTTGGTAGCTTAACATCAACAGCCACCCGAATAATCTCAAGAAACCGAATCATATACCATGTCATATCGATCTGCCACCATTCTAATCCATGTTTTGCTGAGTATTCAAATGCATGGTGATTGTTGTGCCATCCTTCTCCAAATGCTAGTATTCCCACCCACCTTTCCATGTTCACGTTGCCATTATTTTTCATGTCATGTATATCTAAACAAAATGAAACTGATACCATTTTAATAGGTCATCACTCACCAATTGTTTCGCGAAAGGTCTCCAGTGTTCCATGCTTGTTGTCCCCATACATGACAAGCCGAGTTCACTAGCCATGTAATGTGGTACACCCAAACTATCCTCACACCCTGTATTCAAATCAATATATTGGTGATCTTAAAATGTTTCGCTTTCATGAAATACGATATAACATCATGATACATAACACACTTACATTATGCATGGTTATAAGTTCATCACAAACTTATGAAGTCATTCTACTACTTTGGGAAATTTAGATGGCTAAAAGCCTTAAAGTAAAAGCATACATGTGTGATGTGTCATACCATTCCCCATACAATAAAAGGAAATCCCCCGAGTGCATATAGAACAAGGGCGAGTGCTACTGGATGTACGACATAAGTTCTTCTAAGAAACCTATAAAATGGTTGTTTCTCTAAATCTCCAACATTGTTTGGCTCTCCACACTGAAACATGAAACATTGAAAGTAATCAAATGGTGAACCGTTGGAAATTAATTAACATGAGAAATCCGTACCCTTTTTGTAACGTTGTCGGTATCAAACAACCAACTCATATGACTGAACCAAAATCCTTCAATCGGGCTATGTGGATCTTTCTCCGAATCACAATATTGATGATGATACCTATGTGTGCTCACCCAATCTATTGGGTTTCCCTGATGAATTCATATTTTAGGTCAACAATGGGGAGTTTGATAAGAACAATTTGGAGTAAACAAAAATATATGTAGTTTATTTATATTTATAATTTGATTACTGTAATTTAAATCATGACATCTATAAGACTATAACCATCATCCTTTTCGAAATTGATTATTTTATGTGAAGCTCGATATAAATATCAGTTCAATCTTGATAACATTTCTATTATAAAGGTATTTTCAAAATCATTGGTTTAATAAATATGTCAAATAAGTTAATTTATAAACAAAAGAGTTGGCTATTGAATTTTTTTTTGGATTTTATATACTATGTCCAAAATAAAAATTAATGAACAAGAATGTTTAATTTTCACCTGAAGAGCATGGACCCCGCAATAAGCGAACGTGTATTCAAGCCATTTCGGGAGCTTGAAGCTTCTGTGAGAGAGATTTCTGTGGAAGGAGAGAGTAATACCCAAAAGCCCAGTCACCACGTACAACGCCACCGCTACCGATAAAGCTCCCCAACTGAATGTAAAGGGAGCGAAACCACATAGCAAATGCATCGCCACCACCACTCCCGCCGTCGTCAAGTCCATGGCATTCCATTTCCTACCCCTATACACCTCTTTCGGCCGCTTCACCACCACGTCCGACAACAAAATTCTTGCCTGCCCACCGCCTTCCACCGCCGCGTTGACAATTCGCAACGCATGTCTTTTGAGGTGGTGGTGGGCAGTTTTTATACTCGTTTTTGTCTGTATAACCCGCCGCTGTTCGGTGTAGAGGTGAGATGGTACGGATTTTGACCGGTGGATTAGTTTTGGAAAGAATTTGGCGGCAGGAGGTGGCGCTATCAGCGCCATTGGTGGTTCTGATTTATCCACCTTGATTTGTTTGATGGGTATATAAAGATGTGCTTCTATCTCTATTTTTGAATTTTATTTTTACGAAAACGACGACGGAATTCTGCAAATCTTACCCAGATCATCAAATACGTAGTCGATAAAGAACCCCACGTGGCAATGCCGATAAGGCTGTGAAGGTTTATTTGTATAGGAAATTTCATCCACAGATTTGTCAAAAGATCTTAACTTGTTGATATTCTTCAAGATTTCAATTCTGTGGATTGGTACTTTTATCCTGTGTTCACGCGCACCAGCTGTTTGTGAAAATGCGTACAAGAAGTGCTTCATTATGCCGCTCGTTGGCTCAGGTTGTATGGTCTCGTCGTGCTAATTCCAAACCTTCCATTACATTCACTCATGGTAAACAGCTCTGCTATTTGAGTTTGATTGCAACTTTTGGAAATAGTATTGTATTGTATGTGGGATTATCGATCTTTAACGTCGGTGATGGGAACTTTTATTTATAAATCTAGTGGTTAAAATCAAGACTTTCTGTTCTTCCCTTCATATATATAAAGCGATATATTCGTTCTACTTTAGAGCATAGAAAACACGCATAGTGAACTCGTAGTTCGGGACTTCTTGTCCATGGTTCATACGGCTCTTTCTGTTACTATCACTAAAATATAATGAGCAAAAATCTAGCGTAAAGAGTGGGTATAAACATGCATTTGTATACCCGTTTTATATTTATCCAAATAGGATGTGTCGTGGTTGAGTTGTACTAAAATGATTATATGATGGTTAAGTGTTGTTGGTACGTCATGTTACGACAAAAGTATACAATCAACAAATCTAATTGAAATAAAACAAACGAAATTTAAATATATATAAAATACAAGAATCAATATACAGAAAACATACTTGTATTATGATTACACATAAAATATAATTAGGAAATTGTACAGATTGAGGCCTGTTATGCAGTGTCTTAAGACAGAAATTTCCCTGGTAGGGATTTGTCAAGAGGATACAACAATCAATCCAAGAAGTGATCTTGAATCTGACGAAATTTCTATGTTTCTTTCATCTTCAGGAAGAATGAATTTGAAAGAGAATTTTGTGGTGTAAAATTGATTTATATAACCCCTCACAGATGAATGAAAACAGGTTTTTATAGGTATTATTTATGACAGTTGGAAACTGTCAAAACCGAAAATAACTGTCAAAACCTATCATTCAGTAATTACGAATTTAATAAAAATAAAAAATAAAAATTAATCAAGAAGACCCCCAAGGCCCAAGGCCCATCTTTTGACCATTAACTATTCTCTTGATATTAGCATGTTTTGAGTCCAATTAGGCTAATCCAACACCACAACCCAAGCACAATATGCTTGACCCATTTAATTAAATGAGTGGGACACGACATAAAAGGTGGGAGAAGGTTTTCTCTTCCACCGGTATGCGATAAGTCCCACATTGTAAAGCAAAGTTCCAACAATACCCCACATTTTCTATTAACTCCAAGAATACCCCACATTAGAATAGAAAATAAGTAAACTTTGATATTCAAATAAGGGAAGTTAGATATAACATGCATCTGAATAGGTGTTGTAAAACTTGAACCTTTCATAGTGACTGCTACTTGGATCTACTTTGTGGGTAGTGAACTAGAGTCTTGAACTAACCATTTTTTATAGTAGAATAAAATAAGAAGTATCGCACATATCATATCTAAGCATAGATCATTTCTCACCGTTGTGTTCATTTCGGTCGTGAACGATCCTTTCTTCATGAGACTTTTAGAGAGCTTAGTCATATCAGCTCCCAAAGATGTGACCTCACATCCATCTCACATAGGTAATGCTAATTTGGAACAATTCATACTTATTCCACTGTAAAAGTTATTGGTATTATTAAGAATAAAGAATTCATCCCTATATCATCAACAGAAAAACACAAAATAAATATCATAGGAGTGAGCATACCTTTGTGTTAGTGCTTCTTTGAGTCTTCCCCAATTAGTTGTCATATTGAACCTAGACCATGGGATCTCCAATGTTGCTAGGTTAGGTTTCCGCCAGGTGGTGACTTATTGTGTTGGCTTTAAGCCCATTCCCCTCGATGTGAAGAGAACTTGCTCTCTACTAAGGTCTTTTTGTCAAGGGATCAGCTATATTTTCCTTTGACTTTATGTAACTCATGGAAATGATTCCATTCTTCAGCAAGTCTCTTATTGTAATATGTATGCGCCTAATGTGTCTTGACTTGCCATTGTATATATGACTTTGTGCTCTAGTAAGAGCAGACATACTATCACAATGTATGCCAATGACAGTAACAGGTTGAGGCCATAGAGGAATACCTTTTAGGAAGCTTTTAAGCCATTCAGCTTCTTCAGCAGCTTTGTCTAAAGCAACAAACTCTGCTTCCATTGTAAAACAAGTATTCACAGTTTGCTTAGATGATTTCCAAGAGATAGCAGCTCCACCAAGAGTGAACACATATCTACTTGTGGATTTTGCCTCTGAGGTATTGGAAATCCAATTTGCATCACAATACCCTTCAAGAACAGGAGGATATCTCGTGTAATGCAATCCATAATTCATTGTATGCTTTAAATATCTAAGCACTCTCACTAATGCATACCAATGATCTTTCCCAGGATTGTGGGAGTAGTGGCTCAATCTACTTACACTATATGCTAAGTCTGGTCTTGTACAATTCATAATATACATTAAGCTACCAAGAACTTGAGTATATTCTAACTGGGCTACACTATCACCTTTATTCTTCTTTAGATGACTAAAAGCATCAAATGGGGTGACAACCGGCTTGTCATCATAGTGTCCAAACTTCTTGAGTACACTTTCAATATAATGGGACTGAATAAGAGTATGACCATCTGGTCTTCTTTGAACTCTTACACCAAGGATCACATCTACTACTCCTAAGTCTTTCATGGAGAAGGAAGAGTGTAGCATTTTCTTGGTTTGATTGATCACATCCAAATTAGTACTCATTATAAGCATATCATCCACATACAAGCATACGATGACACAAGCATTCTTGTATTGTTTGACATAAACACATTTATCACATTCATTTATTCTAAATCCATTAGAGAGTAATGTGTTGTCAAACATTTCATGTCATTGCTTTGGAGCCTGTTTTAGTCCATAAAGTGATCTAACTAACTTACAGACTTTGTTTTCTTGACCTTTAACCACAAACCCTTCAGGTTGATACATACATACATACATACATACATACATACATATATATATATATCTTCATCTAGTTCACCATACAAGAAGGCAATTTTCACATCCATTTGGTGTATTTCCAAATTGTGAATGGCTGCAATTACTACTAATGTATGAATTGATGTAATTCTTGTAACAGGTGAATAGGTGTCAAAGAAGTCTTGACCCTCTTTTTGACGGTACCCTTTAGCTACTAAACGAGCTTTGTACTTCTCAATGGTACCATCAGGTCTAAACTTTTTCTTGAATATCCATTTGTGCCCAATTGGTTTTTGCCCAGGTGGCAAAACTACCAATTTCCAAGTGTTATTTTGCACAATGGAGTCAATCTCACTTTTGATTGCCTCTTTCCAATAAGGAGCTTCAGAGGAGTCCATAGCTTCCTTATATGTTTGGGGTTCATTATTCACTACAAAGGTCATGTAATCAGGTCCAAAATCTTTGGCAATTTTGCCCCGTTTGCTTCTTCTGGGTTCTAAGTTCTCTTCTTGAACCTTAGAAGAACACTCTTCATTTGATTGTAAACCTTTGTCTAGAAAGGTATCATTTAGTCCATCATCTAGTCGATCATCTAGAGGTCTTTTCCTAGAGCAGGTAACCTCTTTCCCTTTATCCTTAAAAGGAAAAATATTTTCAAAGAATTCAGCCTCTGTTGATTCCATGATGGTTTGGTTGTGGATATCATCAACGTATGATTTAAACACAATAAACCTATAGGCTGCACTATTCATGGCAAGGCCAAGATAGATGCAATCTATGGTTTTTTGTCCAAGTTTAGTCCTCTCAAGAAGAGGTACTTGTACCTTAGCAAAGCAACCCCACACTTTCATCCTTTTATAAGAGGGTAACCTCCCTTTCCACTAATGATAGGGTGATTTATCACTCTTTTTATGAGGAATTCTATTAAGTCTTGATTTTGTTGCAAGACATGCTTCTCCCTACAGATTATGTGGTGCTCCATAAGTAATTAACATTGAATTAATCATGTTTTTTAATGTTCTATTCTTCCTTTCTGCCACTCCATTTTGTTGAGGAGTATATGGAGCAATTGTTTGATGTATAATACCATTTAAAGAACAAAATTCAGCAAAGTTTTTGGATTCATATTCTCCTCCTCGATCACACCTTAGAATTTTGATCTTTTTGTCAAGTTGATTTTCAACTCCAGCCTTGTAATTCTTATAAGAATTCAAGGCTTCATCCTTGGTATTTAACAAATAAATATAACAATACTTGCTGCAATCATCAATAAAAGAAATATAATAATTTTTTCCTCCTCTTGTAGGTGTTGCTCTAAAATCACATAAATCATAGTGGATTAAGCCAAGTATTTCATTAGATTTTTCAACTGATTTATGAGGATGTTGTGAAAATTTTGATTCCACACAAACCTCACATTTTATGTTTTTATCTAATGAACATTTTGGTAACATGCCGAGTTTTTCCATTCTTTGAATAGAGCGAAAATTGACATGTCCCAATCAAGAATGCCACAAAAATAAAGGATCATGCATATACATAGAAGAGGGGATAGTAGTGCCTATTATTGCATTAGCATTAACATTGGTTACATCCTTGTTTGGTGTTTCAACACCATAGTACAAAGGTAATACACTAACTTTGAAGAAACCCTCACTAAGGTATCCCTTTCCAACATACACCCCAACCTTGGTGAGAACAAACTTATCAGACTCAAATACAAGTTTGAAACCTTTGTTACTAAGAATAGGATTAGAAATCAGATTCTTAGTAATTTCAGGAACATGCAAGACATCACTTAAAACAAGTTCTTTTTCAGAAGTCAGTTGTGGCTTCACTTTTCCCTTTCCTTCAACTTTTGCAGTAGAGCCATTCCCCATAAACATTGGTTCAGAATCCGAGACTTTCTGGTATGTAGAAAATATAGTTCGGGAGTTGCAAATGTGCCTTGTGACTCTAGTATCAATCCACCAATCCACACAATTGCTAACCATCTTGGTTTGAATCACAACAACAAACTGATTTGGTGATTCAACCATGTTGGTTTGACCAGAATTTCCACCACCAAAATTACCACCATTGTTTCCATTGTTTCCTCCT